ATCAGAATGACGAATACGATCCACGGCGTGATGACGTACGGGCCACCATTATGTAACAGTGCAAGGAACATGAATTCTAATACCGCGTCAGTGATTACTTGTACTCCGTTGGGACAGTGGACGCGCTCCGATTTGATTGAAGACTTTATGTAATTAGCCCGGCCAACACGCAAATGAAGATAAATTGCGTTCCCCGATAAGATCGCGCCAGAAAGTTGTGAAATGTAAGTCCGGATCAATCGACAAATTTGGAACATAATTCGACGTTATTTCGAATCTACTTTCCTGTGACCGAGTTATAAATGTTCAAGATGCATAATGTTATCTCCAGCAAATTGTATTAACCAGTGAGCTCTTGAAACAGCCCGTCAATACTATTCAATTATCGATCAGGAATGACTAATGATCCTATGGGACGCCTAGTACGTAATGACCACGTAATTCCGAATGTTCCATTATTTGATCTAATGGCTGTTTCACGCGTGTTTCGATTACAAACACCATTGCTGGACTAATATTGAAGATTAACATGAATACTGAATCAATTCGATGTATGCAGATTTAATGATCATTGGAATATCAGGCTGGCTTAGACTGATATTACGATTAAAAGGAGTTTTGTTACGACGTTGCTTCTTAGAATAAAGATCATAAAAATGAGTCAAAGCAATTAACACGTTAAACGTGAAAAAAAAAAGAATCTTATATTTGCAATAGCTTTTTTCAAACATAACTCAATGGTTGCACGAAGGTGCTTAACAAAAATTACATAAAGTCCCCAGTTATCCCGAATTATTACCATTTCTTCTAGTTTCCATTCGTGGACTTAATATTAAATAAAGGAATGTAACCGAGGGTCTAGAAAAAAGGGCGTAACTCCTCGTAAAAGAAACGAGTCGCCAGGGACCCACGGAAATTCGTCGAGGGAACGTTTTTCTATTAAAGTCCACATGATAAATGGTCCCATAATGCTTTATCTCCTCCATGAAACACGGTCTATTACTTTAAAGGCCGTTTCGTGGACCAATTTTCGTATCAGCTTCGAATCTTCGGCTCTCTGATGGCCGATTACCGATATCCCCTGTGATCCGCTCCATCCGAAACACCCTAATTTTTACATGGACCCAAGAAATACGACGAATGTCGGGAGCTATGTACTATACCTATCGTTCTAACACCAGACGTTCAGTGACCTTCGAATTACAATTTCTATGTTATGAAAGTAATATTTTTTATGTTCCTATTATTACTTCCTCATTGGAGGAATTCAACTATCTTCACGATAACAAATAAATTCTTAACGAAAAACATTAAAAGCCTTCTACCTTGCAGATGTATTCTCACCATTCCTTTCACAAAATTCGAGAAACGACCGGCAAGAATCCATCGATCAGTTTCTACCTGCGTCGGTCAGGTATGCAAGAGGGTTGCAACCCTGAACGATCGACAGAAAAAGGTTATCCCTTATCCCTAATCCCAAATGCGTTACGGTGTATATAATATAACCCCTGGAACATAATCTAAATACACTTTTTCGGAGACAAGAAATTCTATATTATCGTAAATCCCATTTGAACGAAATACTCTAAGGACGTGTTATTCCCGACAAACCATGAAACGAGGAATCACTTTCTATTAGCAAGTCAAGTGATCCCCGAACGTAATATTACAGCTGGTGGTTCGTGTGATTTGGTAGCGGGCCAAAAGGACCCGGAGCCTATTTCGTGTCGGTCTTATGTTTCCCTCGAACTATCGCCCCCTATTGAACCCAACCCCTATTAGTCGAGAGCTGATAAGTTCAGTTATTTGAGCTTCCCAAAAAAAAAGTTTTGATACGCCTCGCAACAAGAACGAAAGTTTAACTGTTGTATCGTTAAACTCCAATAGGTACCTATGCATTGCTTTTTAGTAGATTTGAAATGCACTGTTCGATAGTTGTCGTTGCGAAATTTGAATCAACTTTTCCATAAATTCTATATTGAGGCAATTCGTCATACATTGCTTGAATACAATTTTACCCTCCCGTTCATGTTGTCCCAAAAACATTTCATGAATTTTCGCAAAGAACCTCCCTCTGACGGATTCGATTGTACATCTTTTCACATCCATTGAACCGAAAAGAGAATCAATTGCAGGTCACTGTTTCTAAAAGCAACCACAAATTGTGTTGGTCTATTTCTTTTCTGTTTTTTTTTTTCATCGTCGTGCCATTCAGTACGAGAAAAAGTTACCCGAAAGATTCGCTTTTCGATTACGATTATTTGGAATCTTTGAAGCATGATTATCTATTAAGGCGACTCGCTTCGGTAGGTGAATCTTAACAGAGATCGGACAAGTATTGGCCACGCTACAGCGTGATCCCAGTGCGATCTATCGATAAACGACGGTCAATAATTCTCCCAGCCGAATTAACGTGCGGGCGACGTCGAAAGGAAGTCCATTTTCCGTTTTGACAGCGATAGGAAGGAGCAGTCGAGTCACGATCCACTGGGGTAACTCTAACGAACTATTTAATGAAATCCTAAGGCGCCGTGGAAGGAGAGTTAGCGTACCGAAATTCGTAGGAGCAACTACTATATGGATCCCATGACGCAGTAATTATAGAAACCCCAAAGGAGGGCAAAATGTTAATGTCCACATCTATGGTTTATTTTCATGCGAGATTTGTTTTGAGTTTTACCATTCTGACCTGTTTGAACGTAGAATAGAATGGAAAATGTGATACTATACTGATTATACTGAACATCTGCATTTGTATGAAAGTTCACAATATAATGGTACTGAAAAGCTTTTGATATTCTGGACTCTATATTCACAATTATATGACCAATTATTTCATGTTATCATTATTACAAAAATGTATATTAACATAATTTATGCAAATCACTAAAATTTTTGTGTAAAAAAACATTTTCTGTGCACAGTCAGACCACTGGGAGACACAACTACAATATGTCTGGCACAAGTCTCATAATGAGAATCCAACATGATAATTAATGCCGGCGTATTGCGGGCACAGTATGCGCGAGAACGTGGCGCGTGGACGGGCTTAGTGTGTAAATAATAAACTGTTATCACACGGCGCGATAATATATTATGCGGCATTTGCGGCAATGACGAAATGGCGGGCAATTTCGAAACGATACGATGGCTCTTAAATCTGGCTTTAGTTAGGCCGCGTTTCCAGGAGGAGATTACGTTTCCGTTTAAACGACGACGTAATCGTAAACCGTTGCGGACAAGGCTAATTTACACGTGAAAGCGTGTCAACCTTTTCTTCGGAACGGTATCGTCGTTTAGAAGACAATTCCTCCACCGATAGTGTATTCGCGAAATATTAATCAGTGACCAAACAGCGTTCCGTCACACAGCCAGTCCATATTTGCCCATCCCACGTTGGAGATATGTACGTGTTTACGTATGCACCGTAGGTAGCGTCGAAGGAATTCACGAGGTTTTTGGTCGGTGATACTGATAAAACGATGGGAAGGTTACCGTTAACTATCGATTTATTTTTGGGCGCCTGTTGCTCGTGTGCTCCGTGAAAGTCTCCAGCACGCAAGGTGTAAATACGAAGGGGGACCAGGATAATGAGATACAGAATGGGAACGATGATGTAGGAAAGTTGGAGGGGATTAGCCAGGGGACACAAGTATAAAAATGGACAAATGCGTGGGGACATCTGGTCTGCCCTACTTGTATTGGTACAGAACCTTGTCTGCCTATCAATATCTATTAAACCTGAAAGAGATGCTCCCTATGTATCCTTCTAAATGAAAGTCAAAATACCATTTATGAAATCTAATTCTATTGCTGGTTCCCGTGAATTATAATAATTTACGGAGTTCAATATCTGTATCAGAATGGACCCGGGTACCGTTATTCGACGATTAATCAATTAGATTAATAGAAAGTTATAGGAATCATTTCTCTCGCTTGGTAGTTCAAAACAGACGCCAAGAGATAGTCGAAGAATATAAAAAAAAAGAATGCACTGCGTCTGCACAGTGAAAACGATTCTAACAGGCGTAGAAGTGCTTTCAGAGGGACCTGTTTTCGCGCGTTAATTTATAAAACACATTGTTGAAAATGCATGTCACACTCACGTTCCGGTAGGTTTTTGTTGTGGCCAGGGTGGAGGAAGCAGTCAGCACGCGGGACACTTCGTACCATCTGACGATGCACAGTGCGCGACAGGACACAGTGGCCATCCTCTTGCTACGTCTCCTCCGTCAAAAACGGAGCACAGAAGAAACAGACACTTTGTTAACTTTTTTCCTTTTCTCACGAGTCACTAACACCTAACACTGAGGGACCAACGACCGTCTTCGAGCGACTACCTACGTCGTCGGCGGGCGGCATCGCTTGCCGGCTCGTCCCTGCGGCCCGAGACCCAGACCTTGCGACGGCCAATGGCGTGACATGCGCGAGACGCGCTTCCTGCGCCGCCATTGGCACACCGGGCGGGAGCCAATCGACGCCCGGACCGACGATACCCGCGCACATATTCAATATTTGAATCACAGCTACGCTCGCTTTGTCACGTTTATGGCGATTGTTCGAACGCTGATGTTCACTGTTTAATGAGCTAGATCACGAATTCCTTCTTCGTTAAACCGTTAGGAATCGTACACAGAGTTTTTCTCCGGGTATTGAATATATAATTAAATAACTCAAGAATTTAAACCGAATACAAACGTATTCGTTAAAAGTCGATTTTTTTCTCGATCCATAAAAAGATTCCTCCGGAGTAGATTCAATCGGAATAAACAATATTCAGTACAAGACAGAATTGAATACAAGACCATTGATCACAGTGAAACCTCGAAAGAAAAAGAAAATGTTTCATAATCGAAGCAATTAAAATGACGATCGTGTATTGAAAGAATTATGTAGTCATATTCAATGTATCGGGATGAGGGAAGGAACAAAACTTTGACAGTTACTGTAACCTCTCTATAACCTGAATAGGATAAACAACTGTGCATCCTAATAAGGGAATGGTTAACTCTCATGTAGACGAGTTCGAATACAGTTACTACGATTATGGACGTTCGATGCAACATTATAATGGCACCCTAAGTTTCCATGTACATTCGTGGCCGGATTTGACTCGTGTCGTTCTGGTCATCCTGTTGCGCATTGGCTTCGTCATGATACACGTTGGTAGTGTGCCAGTGAACAATGTCAATCTGATTCTGCTTCAGAATATTGTCGACGTTTGTTGGGTGACATTAACGTATTCGTTGATTGGATATCTGATCGCCTTCAACGGCGACACGAATGGAGTGATAGGAGGAGGAGTTTGGGTCGGTAACGCGGCCGTCGATAAGGATGATGTTTTGATTGGATGGTCGGCTGTGGTAATCGCAGCAGCGATTTGCACTTGCGGGATCGTCGGAAGAACCCATACCGTCGGCTACCTCGTAACAGGATTCCTTCTGGCTGCTTTGTTGCAGCCATTCTTGATCCATTGGGTCTGGTCTCCTAAAGGATGGATGAGGACGAATCTACTGAATGAAGAGGACGTTAGGTTTCGGGACTATGCTGGCTCGACAATTGTTCATCTGGTCGGTGGACTGTCGGGATTGATTGGTTGTATGACCCTCGGAAGAAGGATACTCCGGTTGAGCGCTTTAGATGACGCGAGTATCGCTGCTGGTACCTCAGGAACCGTATACGCGGGTGAACTGATGGTATTCATTGGACTTCAGGTGAATGGATGGTGTTGAAAATTTTTTAGTAGATCCACGAAGAAGGTATAGGATTAATCTAACATTCCAGGATAGTTTTAGGTTTAAGAACTACTCACATTTTCGTCTGCCAATATGAATAGCGGTTCCAATATATTCTATGCTGAATGCTAGAACTGATCTCTATATCTTGTTGTGGCAAAACATCTGTAAAACAAAATGAATACGTTCTGAACTATGTCCCCCGATTTAGAGTCTCAGTATTCCAAATGATACTTTCCGAATTAGAAGTAAAGATCATGGTCACGTCTACCTGAACAATTTACTAGCCGCGTCATCGTGCAGCGTGTTTGTCGTGGCTTTCCACTTCATGGTCAGCGGAGAAGAATTCAATCATTGGACGGTAATGAGATGCGTTCAAGCATTGGCAGCCGGCCTGTCGATAGTAGCTGCTGGAACGGACTTTTATTCGCCTCAGATAGCAATCGTTCTGGGCTTTATCGGAAGCATCGTATTCTTTTTAGTTTCCAAGCTAATCTTTCAAAGCGCCCTTGAGGACTATTGCAACATCGTGGCTACCCACGTTGCCTGTGCTTTCGTGGGAAGCTTCTTGGCTCCCCTTTTCGACATCGACACGGAGGCAACTCTGACAGCGAATGTGTACCAATTCTTCTGGCAATTGATTTGTCTGATCACGATAATCACCATGGTTTCGATCGTCATGTACATTTCTTTTACTCTGCTGGAACGTTTTGGTCTATTGAGAAACCGATCGGAACACTTGAATCATATGAGGGCAAATGTAGCCATGGAAGCTCTGGACGTTCCTCGAGGGAACTTTTTTCGAAGGCTTTTTCATACCGACGACGATCCTGTTTACATTCAACCGGGATCTACATCTGACTCCGCTCGACGTCCGAGTGTAGGTACTCATGCCATGAAGTACCAAGCTGAGGACGCTGCCATCGAAAAGGGTAGGGTGGTTGAGCCAAGACCGCGTACATAGCATGCATTTTGTAACTATAAACATTTAAATCAACACAACTATTTCGATCTGTAAAATTGAACTGAATTTTAACTACTCCAATGTAATAAATGCTTCATTAGTACAAGAAAAGAACAGTGTAAAATGGTGGTTCGTGCTTTCAAGATTTTAAACATTTCTTTTATTAGAACTTACGGACTATTCGTACAGTTATTACAGTATTTTACAATATAATAATTTTAAGTTAAATAATCAAAAGTCCTATTAAAGTGTCGTACACATATTCTACACGTGTCCCCCGCTTATTCGTACGATGATAGTTTCTTTCTTTATTTTATTTGCACAACAGTTTGTTCGAACATCTAGAAAACATTCGTTATTCCCTGCGCGCTTCTCGGTGAAACCAGAAACTGCAAATACACGCGCAGAGTATTATTAGCTGTGTCTTATCGTTGATTCGCGTTTGAACCTATAACGAGTGCGGAAGTTGAACTAGGTTGTGTAATCAACCAGAAATTGATTGCAAAGATATTGAATACGGTCGATTGAAAATTTGAATATTCTTTTTCTAGGTAACACAATTAATGGTAATACTTAGATTTTTTTAATTGCAGTTCGTTACCAAAAATCGATAGTTTGTAGCGAAAAGTAACACGTGGTGACGAACCAACGATCGAATCTAGCTAATTACCATTTAGCAAGGACTTTGAAACTTTTCACGCCGATACAACAAATCTCATTCCGATTTTGTGATTCTGGTTTGTCAAATATTATTGTCAGCTGGCGGCAAACCGGACAGTCGTTGCCGCCGCCATACCGAAAAAAAAAAAATCTTGAATATTGACTCTAGAGATCCGACGTCGCGATACAATAATACAACTGTATATACAACACTGGTAAAATGGCACGATTCGACGAAACAGATCAATTGCTTAGTTGCATTAATATCGTTACTGTTAACTATTATTATATTAACAATGAACTTTGTACATGATTTCGTTTAACCGTCACGCGACACAGTTTAACGGCAGTATAAAAATGAGAATAAAATATACAAAGGGGTAACAAAAACGTTCGTAAAACTGTTTAATCGTCGATGAAACAACGATCTCTATCTCGGTGAACACGTACGCGTACGAGAATAAATGACGCTCACTTTGGCCCAAAGTTTACGGATATCGTAATGTTAGTTTTCTTTTTCTTTTTTTAATAATTTGTGCAATTATTTTCTTGCTTAAGTAACGGCTTCCCATCTCATGGGTACAATGGTTTAAAACAAGTTTCCAAAACGAGCCAAATGTGTTCTGTGATCGAAAGATATGAATAGAATATCAAGGTTAATTCCAGAGAGAATCGAACAATTCGACGGGATAGGATCGACCGGTGGAACAAAAAACAAAAGAGTAAGTAGCTAATGTATCGTATACAGTGTTCAACATAAACAATCGTAACTGATATGCATTTAACAAACGATCGCCACGATTAAACTATCTTGTGAACAACGATTTTATTCACAAAAGGTCGCCGGTTCGCGTGTCCTCGGTCTACACGCGACACCCCTAGATATAATACATCAGGTATTAAAAGTTTCCCAAAAATCGATCGATATCCTTCAACAACGATCACACCTCCTACCACGGAACTTAGGATTTATCATACGAACCAGAGTCTGCGTGCCTCACACGTGACAATAGCGATTATTGCAAATAGGCAGTTTATCACCATCCCCCCCTTCGAAAGATCAGCAGGTTCACCGTGAACGATCGCCGATAAGACCGTTCCCGTGAATAGTTTCATTTTTCCTTAATTTTCATCGTATTTAAGTCGTTTATGGTACACCTACGATCACATCAAAATAGTACGATACATAAATGTACAAACGGACGCGATCTCTCTCTTTCACTCTCTATCTCTCTCACACACTCACGCACACCTTTCATCGGTCTCTCTCTCTCTCTCCAATCGTCGGTACCAAGAATAGTATTGTCAAAATATACATAGAATCATCATTATCGTTTCCTTAAATACGCTTACACAACGAGAATTAATGTACATATCGGTGTCTCCGAGAGGTAAGTGGGCGGGTGAGAAGCTCGAAATCCCGGAGGTCTCGCACACGCGGAAAACGATCCTGCAATTAGAGTAACCAGGAGCGAAGGACTGGCGGATCGTCAGTCCAAAAAACATCAACGCTCGATCTATCTCATGGATCACTTTCATGAGGAAATATATCTCTTCAAACATTGTAACACGATTTTGGACAGATCTTGTCTCACAGTAAGCCATCGTCGCTTCCCACATAACCGTCATTGGTCGCCATTAATTTCGTCCATCGGATCATACAAGGATCTACTCTTTACTAGCTCAAGCCTTAGAAAAATTCTCCGAGTCGCCGAATCCCTTTCATCAATATATGCATTCGTTACCAAAATATCGATCTTATCAAATAAAACGCGTCACGATCTAGGATTCGACTCGAACAGAAATTAGGAATCCTTTGCCCATCGACTTGGTAGTAAAGATCAGAAAGGATATAATCGCCAGCTGTAATAGACGACGACGGCGCCAGACGGTCCATGTATTCCTAATAGTCATGTCCTTTACGCGGGAACAACGATGACGATAATAATATAACGTTAATAATAGTGCTATTGGTTTAACAACGATCGACAGCCACGGTCGTGTCACCGTGGAACCGTTTATAGTGACTAGCTTTGCGGGCTCCCCCATCGATTTAGGCCAACCCACTGGGCTCCTAGGCCTGTGTGGTCCATCTGTCGTGGATCTCGAGTCCAGTGGAGCGATCAATGTACAAGTATTTTACAGGTCTTCCGCTAGTAAACGAGGGATCTCGTTTACCGTCGAGATGAAGAGTTCCGAAACGGTGTCGTTTCATGCGATCGACGTTTGCTAGGTCATCACCGTGTCGGTGAGGTCCTCCTTCAGCCATTGGGGGATCGTTCTCAGTCCGAGTCGTTTTAATAATTTGACTAGGGCCGTGTTATGAGACAGATAGTACCTCTGTAAAGAGATAATTATGTCAACAGAACCATTTTTTTTTTTTTACTGTCATTGTTCCAATGCGTTCACAGTCGTAGGTAGGTTAGGAAGGATCGAGTCAGGTGTATCTCAGGATTGATCCAAATGTTCTTCTCAGCAGATTGGCAATCAAATTATTCTGAACTGAGATAGTCATCTCAGATTCATCTACATATTTTTTCATCGAGTTGGAGTTTACTGCGGAAAATGTGAAATCGGGCACCTCGCAGGAGCTAATAGGGATTTTTTGAACAGGTCGGAATAAGCGAACGTATTACAAATCCAAGCGTTTTGCTCCACTTACCTGTAACAATTTGTACGATTTATCCTCCATCGGCGGGTACTGTCGGCCTTTGCTCTTCCCGAGGCATTTCGTTCGATCCTCGTTCGTCACCTGACAAAAGAACCCTTTTTTCGGGTCGTACCTTAGATGCGACGAATAATTGAACGCGGGGGTGATCTTAAGGAACCTTTGTAACTCGTGCAGCGTCTCTACCGGATTCTGTCGCAGTTGCTCACCATCAATGATATGCAACTGCTGAAGCGGATAATAGGAAAGCCACCTTTCCAGATGCTGGGCGTACTTTCCTGGATTTAAACACCTGCAATTCAATAAACAATATATACATCTTGTATGCATCCTTCTGTATAATTCCAGGGAACGCAATCTACACCCTCAAAGGGATCGTCTATACCCTCATTAGCAATTTAGATATGTTAATTTTACTCCGTACAGACATTTCGAAGCAGGGTGGAATATTATTGTTTGCGTTCAAGTCATTACGAACTTTCGACCTAGTCGCTATTACGGTTGGATGCGTAGCTAATAAACAGAAAATCGTTTCAGATCAACTCACCTATTCCTGAGATCGCGTAGGGGTTTCGGAGCGGTGTCGCTCGCGGTGATCACCGAGTGAAAGGAATAATTATTCGCTACCGGGTCCCCGTGAACCCTCGTGTGCTGGTACCAAGAATACGCTCGCCTCGCCGGTGACAGCAGTATGGTAATTAATTTCGCTTTTGGTAGTAACGCGTGCGCTCTCCGCGGTACCAGTTCTCCGTCGAAATAGGTCGCCGATTTCTCGAAAAGATACCTCGAACTCTCGTTCTTCGACGCCGGAAAGAAGCTCATGTACCTGCGAAGAAAAATTAAAAAAATTCTGTAAGTTAAATATTTCACGTTGCAAGCAACGCAATACTTATAGAAACACACCAATCGGTTAATTTAATGGACACCAGTTCTGGTTTCCAGGTTCTGTACTCACCAGTCCAGGCCCTTGTAATAATTTTTTCCATTGAAGAACTGGATCTCTTCGAACGTGTCCGGACTGGGCAAGTTGCTACTTATTGCTGGGTGAATGGACAGGAAAGTGTAGAGAGCTGTGGTGCCGGTTTTTTGGGGGCCGATTACTAGGAACCTCGGCAGCTGATCGCAGGTTTTGTTCCTCGACCAGATCTTCTGATGCCTCTGGTCGTCACAGGGGTTCTGGTATTGAATACAAAGTTAACTTCTGCAGGACGATACAGTATCTCCTCGTTATAAGCTCGAATTGAAGACAACCGATCATTTTGCTACAATATCATCAGCTTATACCGAGGAGATATCGAAGTACAGGGTGTTCCAGAAATAAGCAGAAAACATTTAGGAGCTTACATCTGGAACATCTCAGGTACATAATATATTATCATCGGAGAACAACGTACGCCCCAGACAGGATCAGATTCTTCAGGGTAAAGTTGAAAGTAACGTTCAGCCAACTGAAGGGGTGGCGCACTGGATAGCCTCAAGTTCGTCCAACACTGAATGAACTTGATCACCGATTCGAAGGTGTACAGCGCCAGACGATCGTTCCCGTAATTCGACATGTGCGTCATAAAAATATTGATCTGCAACGGACAATGGCAAAATATAGCGAATGCTTACGATTAAAAGCTGGTCGTACAGTAAGTCTATGTACTTACAGGATTGTGAACGATAGTCTGGAACAGCTCGCCACCCTGTATCGATTTGTCCAGCTTGTCCCTGCCGCCTGGGTATCTATCGATGAAGATCGTGTGTGTGAAAAGGCCACAGGTCTGCCTCGGTAGAACCTTGCGCAGAAACGAAAGGAAATTCTCACGTGTCCGTTTCATCATTTAATTTGCCCGGATAAGCAAGAAGCCGAGCTGTCGTTCCCGGGGGAAATCAATGTTCCGTGCTTCTTCATTTTTTTTTTTACCGGTTCGACAAATGTTTAAGCGGCAACCGTGAAACGGAAACTGTTCCGTTTCCGGTTTTATACGAGCGCCAATTTTGTCGGGCCAAGCCATGGGGAGCATTGATTCGTCCCGCTGGAAGCCAGGCTGCATAGCTTACCAGTAGGAATTCTTTGGGAATTGGTTTTGGAAGAATTAAGACGTCCAAGAATCCACGATTCTTCTGATCGTAGATTCTCATACCACGTCTATGTCATTTCGTAAATAAAAAATGGCAACTATAATGAACCATTTCGTGTGAAAAGAGCAGGAGTGTCTATTAATTTCGAAATTTTCATAGGTTATAGATTAATTTTTTCAGGTAACATTTAGATTAACCCTCTAACGGCGGTGCTTGGATCCATACCTCCCCGAATTTTTAAAAGCTCCACCTAACTCATCGATCTATGAATCGTATTTAAGGTAGGTATGATTGCGTTCGAAAATAATGTCTAAATAGTAGGAAGCATTAAAGGTCTAAATGGGCCCAAGCACAGCTGCTGTACCAGTATTAAAAACGTCCACCTTACGAGGGTTAATAATCGTCAGAGAAGGTTACCAATTGATATGTACCATTATGTTACGATGGATGAAACCGCGTCTTAAACGAGCGGGCCTCAGATGTGGATATTCTTCGGTGCTCGTGACCTTGATGTTCCACACCCTTTTCCATGCCTCGTACAGTCCTTCGTGGACCGGATAGACGCCGGAATGATGAGGGCTTACGCTGTACCCGCTTCCTGTTGGGATCCCGTGGTCCTTCGCGAATTGTTTGTTCAACGCCATGTCCAGCTGCAGATGCGTTACATTCTCGTACAGATGGGGCTGCTGATGGTTCCACATATGAGAGAACCACGTGAATCTGCAATTCAGAGGTAAGTCATCATTGTCCATTTGAATACCATTCGGACTGTTCAAATACAAGATCCGAGTAAGCTTTAGAAGATAGAATTTATCATCGGAACAATAGGTTTTATTTAACCATGAATAGGTTACGGACAATATAACAGAAGATGTATGCTTAAAGGAAGCTAAAATGCTTTTTCGAAGACATCAGCAATCCCATTACGCTCGTGAAAAGGGGGGAGGGGGGGGGGGGGTAATTGCACGCACCTGTCGACGTTCTCCAGCAGCATGTCGTCCCCCAGATTCTCCTCGGCGGTGCCGTGATGGAAGTACTTCCCGGAAAACCCCAAGTTGAATTTAAAGCCGGGTACTAGCGCCTGGATCCTCTGCTGAGTGGCCAGCAACGCCATCACGTCGTCCTTCCTCAGCCGTGTACCCTTCTCCCCGACGAATATATCGTCCACGTCCACCAGGATCATGCGATTCAAGCTCAGGCTCAATTGCCCGTGCGATAGGTAGGACAGGGAGTCGAGGAGCAGCAGATTGTGCAGCCAAAATCGCAGACCGCCGCCGAAAAAGACCCTCTGGATCCCGTCGTATCTGCCGTGATCCTGCGTAATGTAAATCCGATACCCCATCGGTTAGGTTTATCAGTCTGAACGGCTCCACTCCCCCCCATTCGTGGTTACTTTTTTCACCCTGTTTATCGCGGAGGAGGAATTAAACGGGGGGACGCTGGAGTCGGTTCGCTATGGCCATTGGAGTAACAGATAGCGTCATTGGTATTTAATATCGAGCAGATTCCGTGGATAATCCCTAGTGGGAATTAAAGGGTTTTGGATATTTAAACGACCAAAGTGTAATTAATATGTTTTATGCGTAGAAGCAGCAGAAAGATTCTATTTGGATTTAGGATCGTTAACTTTGAACGTGGTAAAGGAATGCAATTTTGAGAGTACTATCTGCAGAATGTGTTAGCGGAGTTTGATCGTTCGAATAGGTAACACCCTCTCTCTTGGTAAAGAAACTGGAGGACCATTCAGCCGGTAGACTCGATCATTCCGAACCTCGTTGTTAGTGGAATTCGCGCGCTAATCTGCTTGCGCCTGATCAGACAGCAATTATGTTTGATCGAATCGTGACTAGAACCGTGGTTTCACTGGTATTCCGATTCGAGCTAAAATCCATCGTACTCCTGGTTTAAGAGATGTTTTCAATTAAAACAGGACAATGGGATAATCGTAATAAACATTCATGTCTTAATCTACTTACTCCCCAATCATCGTTTCAATTCGTTCGTCCTCTCGAATTACACAAGGATTCATTGTAAAATTTAGGTCGCGCAAGATGTTTAAAATATTACCGCGATTTGTTCGATTCGCCGTGAACGCCACTGTATAAGGTCGCTAAATGATATTATAAAAATTGCACGCCACCCAACCAGTTCAGTCTCGAGCATGTTTTCTTCCCTGCGAGGCTCGTTAAGGTTTTTACGGAACAGGAAAAAAAAAAGAAGCCTGAATAAACGTGAATTGATCGTCGATCGATCGACCATTACGTAAGACGGGAATTGTTCATCGTCAAATCGAATTACCGCGATTTCGTCGTTTTTTCACCCTCCATCCTCCTACTCCCTTTCGTATCGAACACAGGTGCGCGCGAGAACGTTAATGGGTTCGCGCGTACACGTCGCCTCGATGCTTATCGATCACCGAGGGGGACAGCGGCGCGTGTAAGGGCGCGTTAATTTCAAAGATGTTTTACATTAACGTGCTTCCCTCGACACTGTAACAACGCGTCGTAATAGCTCTATTTTCTTCGACGAGGGTGCTGCTCCCGTGGCAATTTTCGTTGCCAACGGCGCCGCGCTGTCGAACTTGCTACACTTCGGTAACACTTCTGAAACTCGAACAGTACTATTCAACACAAAGCAAATAGTTCCACCAACAATTCCTCTCTTTCACCTGTCGTAATTATATTTGATTCCCCATCGAAAATCAAGGCTACTACTAACAAAGGTACTTCAGTACGTATACCCTGAAAACTCCGATTTTTTTTTAAACTCCGCAGGTTTGTAGGGGACCTCGATGGGAACATCGGGAAATTTTTCGTTTTCGGTACTTCAGAATGGAACCACTATTTTCCTGGATATCTCGAGAACTATAGTAGATATAAAAAAACTGTTACACTGAAAATTTAATGGCTTCGTATGCTCTACAAACGTGTGCAATGAAATTGTTAAAAATTTGTTTATTTATTTAGATAATTAATCAAATTTTCATTCTAACAGTGTTCTTGACATCTATTACAGTTTTCAAGATATACAGAAAAATAGGTAATGTCGCATTACCTTCAAGGGATGGTTTCACCCCGAAGACCCGAATATCAGCAAAAACGAAAAATTGCCGAAAACCTACGGAGTTTAATAAAAAAAAAAAAAAATCGGAATTTTCAGGATACGAAGTTCCCGCGTAAGTCCCCCAATTTTAAATATTTCAGCGCATCCGTACATGCGCTCTCCTATGCACCCCGAAGACTTAAATCCCAAATAGCTTCCCCTGTAGAACGAAGTTAATGGACAAAGTCAATCGAAAGTTAGTGTTCACGGGAACAGAGGCGCAGCGTTGCAATCTACAGAACCCGTTCAAAATCGAAACCGAAAGATCGTTTCCTCGAGTAGGTCCATTCTCCTTTGAGGATCCCCTTGGAAAAACTTCGATTGGGTAACAGGAACGATTGTGGGGGGAGGGGTGGCGATCGAACCGAACGCTGACCTATCGCACTGGCTTATCGCGTGCATCGAGTGCATCGTGGTACTCGATTCCCTCCGTTGTCCTCCGATGCCAGATAATCCCGGGCAATTTGTTAATCGCGTTGTTCTGGCCAGGGAGGGGGGAGGGACTCTCAGCAGCGAACGCGACTCGTTTCGAACTACGACCGCCGCGAACGGAGCTTGTTAGCAGTAAACAACAATAATAATCGCGTTGATAACACCATTACGCGTCCGCGGGCACGGGGATTCGCGCATCGTAGTAGGTAGTCAGGTAATTAAATCAAAAGCCAATCAGCCGTTGGTTCATTCGATTAATGGGCCATCGGCTGGCCCCGGAGCTGCTTCATTTGCCGGCCATTCTAACCGGCTATTTATTTCGTTTCCAGGACACGCCTCGAACCCGCGAAACGCATAGCTGATAAACTCGACGAAGAAAGGGGACGTGCTCCGACGAAATCATGGGACGTGTAGTTTATGACTGCGAGAGACAGCGAAATTGTAAATACAACAGAATCACAGGATGTACACGATCGATGGACCCCTAAGATATGGCCTTATTCGACAAGTTTTCTAGGACTTAGGTGCGGGATGTACATACAACGTAATTAAATAATAACTAAAAAATAACGTAACTAAATAATTTCTCAGGACAATCGAGGGAACTATCTCCACCAAGAATATAAGATTATCCGAAGAACTAATTTTTACGTGGAATCGATAAACAAATTAAATTTGATTAAGGACACTGAAACAGGATAAAGAAAAAGAGCAGAAAATATAATCTTAGTTGACCGACTTGATTCTCCTTGCAACTTCAATTTTGACTCACTTTCCGCGTAACACTTCTAACCTAAACACCGGCCAAACTCGTAAAGCTCCTAAATCTACTTCTACCTGAACCGCGGATCCCGACTGTACGGTTCCCAGATTTATATCAACCAGACCCTCTCGTAGGATCGCGGGTAACCTGAATCTAAGTACCCCAAGTGTCTTCCCAAGAAGCAATATTCTCTGCGCCCGAAGTTTGCAGAATTTGTCAAGCGGCTCCAGGGGGTTACCTATCCACGCAGTAGGGTTGGTCATAGTGGCGCATAGTTCGAAAATATTTCATCAAGGCCGACGTGGCGGGATGTTGGACCATACGTTTTTGCGGACCGTGTCTGGTGTGTTCGGGACAAAGTAGACACGTGCTCGCTTGCGTCGCGTCTTTGCGGAGAATTAATAGCTGTGAAAGTGTCGAACAGAAGACAGAATTATGACAATTTTTGGCGTTCTCTATTCCTGTACAAGGTGAACAGAGTGAACGTCATTTCTTTTAAGAATCCGATAAAAATAAGTCTGTTGGGTCTTCAAAAGATTGATAGTGCTTCTCTCGACGTGAAACTGACCCAATGGTAAAAGAATTAATACAACGAAGATACAAATAGTTAAATTTGCAAATGTTTTCGCAATAAAACTCACGGAGCCTCAGTTAAATTTATCTACACACACCAGACAAACATGTGTCAAACAGACACAAGGAACCCAGACGAGGGTTAATAAAAACAAAAGAAAATACACTTATTAAATTACTCGAGAATAGTACAGAATGCTACCTTTTTAATTCCAAAGCAGACATTTTTTTAAAACCACTCAGCCCCGCAAACGAAACACGCACCCGAGCGAACATGTACATTATTCCACATTTAAAGTTGCCCTTAAAAACAACACGACGTACTAGACAACGCCCACAACAAAATATCGCATAAAGCTTGGTAGCTGGAGTAACGACCGCGGAATGGCGTCGCTCGAGTAGCTAGAAAGCCGGACAAAACATCTACAACGATCCAATAAAAAATTTCACAGTGCTCCCGTAACAGGGATCTGCCGGAAGATCGAGCGGACCCATTGGAGAGCAGGTTTCGCGAGCGCGCAACGGCCAGATGATATCACGTGCAGGTTGTTTGTTATATTAAGGGTGTATATTCCCCGTTTGCTTCTCGGAAGGGACGGGGGGAAGGGCTGATGTTCCTTTTCGCCGGAGGATTCGGTGTCCGCTCGCTTGTCTCCGTCGCGTTTGCATTCTCTGGGTCCTATAGATCACCCTGGAAAAGGGGGGAGATCCGCCGTCGCGCGCTCTCCCATCCGGCGTGGCGCCCCGCTTCCGGTCGGGCCTTTTAGCAACGTGGAATCTCGCAATCGCGAAATTCCAACGCGAATGTGAACGCCCCGGGACTTGGAACAGCTTTACGGATTGTTTCAGTCCACCTCTCCCCTTTCTGCCTGGTCTTCAGCTTCACCCACTCCAACTTTCTCTCCATTTTCCTTGCCCTCTCTCTGTTTACTACCCCTTCCTATTTATTTTTCTTCGTCTTAATATTCGTCGCGCAATCTCTCGCTGTCGCTATTCTTTCCTCTCCTTTTTTTACAGGGCGTTTGTACCTCGTCTAATTTGCATTACTTCGCGCCTGTCCCGATTTCCACTTTGGTTTATTCGTCGATTTAACCTTTGCTGACCCTCGTGGGCCTTAGTCCGGTCATTTTTCTTTGTAATGGTACTCTTATTCTTAGGGATTCTCTTGTGTTTCTTGGGACTTCGTGGTCGCTTTTCTTGTTCGTGTTGTTTTATGCTTGAGGGATTTAAGTTGGAGGGGTTGTTGAGAGAATCGATGTTTCGGGGTAGTTTATTCGTATTCGTTGTTGGAGTACAGTAACCTATGTGAGGTCGAGGGCTGATTTGTCATTAGATAAAAGGGAAGATTTTATTCTTCTAGAATAATTACATTCCTGTTTAACGTACTTGTCGAATTGTCGACAATTCCGCGAAGAACGTAATAGAGAAAAATCCATAAAACTAACCTTACTTCTATCCGAATAAAGCTGTTACCGGAGAATACACAGAACAGGAAAAAGAACGTAAAGAACACTGTGAATTCGCATCTTATCCTCGCTCTAATAACCGTACAATGTAATCTAACGTTTCTTATCTTTACTATTATTATTGTTCCCAAACTGTTTTCCATTCTTCTAAACTTGGAACAAGTAACAGAGAACTTTTCCCACCTCTACCCGCGTTATTTCCCTGTCTCTTCGAAAAATACCAAGAATCCCACTGAATATTTGCTCTATATTAGCCCGGTCTCTTGGTTCAGTCTACGTTCCACGTTACTTCCCGCGTGTTCGCGCGTCCTCTCTTCTCTTCCATCTTCATTTCTACCCAAGAGATTCAAGACGCACTCTCTTTCTCTCGTCGCGCTTACAGGGTAAGACCAGTGAGCGTATATACTGGGCGTGCGGAAACTTCACATTTGTTTTCGTTTCCCGGAACCTGGAGAGTTCATCTGAGAAAATAAAAATCGCGCGAGAGAGAGAGAGAGAGAGAGAAGTCACCTGGAACAATCTACAGTCATGTGGATGCAGTGACGAAGTAACACACGTGACTAATGCGAACATTCCCGTTCTCTGTCTACTTGTCGCGAAGTATTATTGAGGTTACAGTTCGTATCAGACCATAGTTCGTCCAACCAGAGTCAGTAGAAATAAGCAAAACATTCCCGTGGTAAGTTCAGCTATTGGACGGCAAATGTTTGTTGTCCCATAGCAAGTCATTGTAGATAAAACATCTAGAAATCTACCTATTTAACCCTTTGTACTCGGAATTTCTAATTTTCAATACATTTTGTCCCTTGAGAGGGGACAGTCGAGTGCAAAGGGTTAATAAATAGTTACTATAGTTCATCAAATATCTTTTCTATTCGTCTTAACTACTCACATACAATTAAATAGACATATAAGGACATAAATCTCTAAAGATCGTAAAACCAGGTTATAAACATTGGATTGGACCGCACAGTGGTCAATGAACCGACCGACCAGGGGACACGCAACGGCGATCCACGTTTTGGCATCGTGTTCGCGTCTCCGCAACCCGTACCGCGACCACGCGGTTGCGGATGCCATTCCGGCTCCCCCAGGGGGTGGAGAACCCTGAAATCGGAGTTGATGTTCCGCTCCGCCGCGGACGATTCGGTGTCAAAGGAAAACTGGAAAACTGTCTGTCGGGGCAAAGGGCGTGGAGAAGGGAGTTAATTAACAGGGAAGTACCCCCGACGAGATCGTATCGAAGCCCTTTGGCACCGGCGAGGAGTTGAAAAGAGTCCTCGTTAACGGGAACGGAAATTTTCGCGAGTGTAACGCGACAAACGGAAAGGGAGGGAGAACGGTGTGGCTTAAACGCACAATCGTGTTTAATTAAAACAACTTTCCCCCGTGTTTCTCGCCGTCACTTTGTTCATTAACAACGTCAAGTATTGATTAATAATGCGAGCAAGGAAACCGGCCTGCTGCTTCTGTTTAAATTCGTTACGTAGCTCTGCTTGGAAGACAAAGCCTCGCCGTTGGACGTCCACGACGCGAAAGCTCGAGAACTGATACGCGTTATTCTTTGCAACGGGCTCCGAGCCCTTTTGTAGCTTGTAATTATTATTTTCCGTGATTGTGTTACCTTGTGTGTCAGGAAACGTGTGGAGCGAGAGTATTCGCTCGAGTTTCGGGGAAAAGGGACACGATGACGTTGGTAAGTGCTTTAAGTTGATCTGATTAGGGAAGGGATGGTAAGTGCTGTTGATTAATGTCATTTAGCGGGTGCGAGTCATTTCGTAGGTATGCTTACGTTTATAAGAGTGTGGAATTCTTTTTAAAACAGAGTTAACCCAAGGTTACGCAGTATTTTAATTTGGTTTTTTTTTTTTTAGTCAATTGAAGGTATTGAATTCTGTTGTTTAACATTGTTGTTGAGAAAGGGAATTCCAGGGATTTGCATAATAATTTTTTCGTCACTCTGTCATCTTCCACCTGGACGTGTAATTTTGTAAAGAGTAAAAAAATCGTATTGTTGTACTACGTTTCACGGCAAATACGGCCGTATCCAAAGTATTAACTCATTACTGACCAAGTAAAAAAGTGAAACGATGTTTCAAAATAATTAAAAAAAATTTCTAATTATCTCCAGAACGTCAGTCAATTCACAAGTACCTCTCAATTATTATTCTCCATCCTAGATTCTAAATATAAATAAAATTCGATTCCAAACATCCCGAACAGAATTCCAAAACTAGAATTAATAAAATCTTTAACGAGCTACCAAAAATCCGAAACCTAAACTGTATCGTTAAATTGCCCGTGTTTAATCAAATCCACTGCTTATCATTCCTACAGTTTAATTACCCCGCGTGTCTCATCTCCGGAACGTTATAGCGCCATCGTAAGTTCCTCGAGGGAGGGTCGCGACCCCGTTGCTCCGTTTCGGAATCGTAACGTAGACGGATACGTGACATGAGGATAGTCGAGGCTGTCCCGGTGCGCCCAGGCGAGTGGCTCGTAGGTGCTGTGATTCGCCTGAAAAATGGTCCAGTCACCGCCAGGAAGTGGTCCCCAGGCTGTTTCCCCGGATCTGGTTAATCGTAGAATAGGGGAGGCCGCGTTCAGCTGGGCATCCTGCGGGAGAAAGAACGATTCTCATGTAGCCACGTCGCTGGAAAACTTCTCCGGACATTGTCCGGCGACGAGCATTTTCTATGCACGTCGTTCACCCGATCGCCCCACTCTTCTGGTTCTTTTTCTCTCTGTTTGCACCGTTGGTTTACACGCGACGACGAGATACGACCCGGTGAAAGTCGGAAATTAGTTCTCTTGTTCCGATTCTATTACACCTGTTCGAAGGGTTGAAAAATAGGAGGCAGCTAGACCACGCGTTTTCCGATACTGGTGTTTGAACGATGGAAACAAATAGGAGTATTGTTTGGTATAGTTTTTTTTTTCTTTGGGTGTGAATTTATCCAAATATTCTAGGACTCTTTAGTTAATTCAGAAATTATTCGCGAGGAGGACAATTATCATGGACAGATAAAGGGTGTATATTTCTACCTGGATCCTTTTCCATGCGTTACCTACAGTTATTGAAATTTGTACAATATGTTTAGCACAAAAAGACTCTTACTACCTTTAATTCAGAGAATGATTACAGACTTGTGACTGGTACTGTAATATCATTAGAATATCTTACCCCTTATGATATTTCTTATCGATCATATGTACTCTTTCGTCCAGTAATACACAAATAGAATCACCCCTTATTTCTCACGTTTCGCAATTTCAATTCTACATGCCGTATTCCACCAAAAGGAAACCTATTCTGAATATTCACCGACTAAACCGCGAGGCCTTACAGACATTAACATTTTCACCGACTAATTTCGAAGTAACAGCGATCAAACAGAAATTTACGTCTCCCATAAAGGTTCCACGAGACTGAGAAAAAAAGTCAGCCCCATCAATCTTCATGAAAGTGTTCCTTTTATCGCATTCCTCCCCTCTCGTTCGGGCGAGCCAGGAAAATGCATAAAATCCGCGGTCTATTTATCACAAACGTTTCATCGGTCATTAAACAAACATTTCATCCCTACGTCGATGGTTTAACGGGGGAATAGAGGTTCGTAGAGTCTAGATATTCACGTGCAGGAGGTGATCGCTCGAAGACGCGTTGCACGATCGACGAAAGAAAACGAACGTATCCACGGCGGGATAATACCCCGGTGGTAATCACAGAGAGCGTGCAGGCTCGCGCGATCTTGGCCGATATGCAAATTGATTCGGCTTGGCAGCCCTACCCCGCTTTAACAGGCGTTTGTCGTATTGCAGTCGGGCGATAATAGGCGCGGAGAGGTCGATGGTTTCGCGGTGCGCCTTTCTTCCTGGTGTGGCCGCAATCCGGAGCCATGAAATAAAGTCGGGAAACCGTTTCGTCACGGAAACGGAGATTGCCAATCCCGTGGTAGCCTCGCTCTCCCCCGTCGAAACGTTATCGAAATTTATTTTCTTGCACGGACGATAAAGTCTGTATCGGCCACCCCTGATCTACGTGGACAAGCTTTCATCAGGGGAACGGGATTGGTACAGGAGTGCAAGGGCACCGAGCTTCATGGGTTTATCTTAGAAATATTCTTCGAAATTTGGAAGAATTTTCAGGCGATCTTTTACGACGAAATAATATTGATGCACTCTTTACATGCCTTTGAAATCAAAGGCATCGTTATGAGAAAGAATTGGAGTTTTTGAATTTTGAGAATCTTTAACGTTAGAACTATCGACAATAAACGTATTGTATATTTTTGTCGAATCGATAAAATGACAAACTTCTGAACATGTATAAGTTAGTGAATTAAATCGTTTCCAGACTTACGTGTTTCATTAAAAGTTGCGAAAGATCTGAAAATGTGTATTGTTGTAACATTTTTATCAGAGTATACTGAGCAGTCGTTTCGACAGTTTCGGTAGTTCCGGCGTTAAATACGTTTGTTCAGTTTCCATTCGACGTCTGTGAGAAAGTATAGGATATTAAATTTCGAAATTATGGGAAACCTTCCGAATTTGATATAATAACGTGATATTCTGATACTATTCTTCCGTAAGACAGTTCACAAATTATTCGAATTGTAATTGTAACTGAATAGCCGACCACCCGAGACAGAGATACCTGGGGCTACATTTCGATCGCAAAAGTTTAATTTCATTCCAAGAGATTCAGCTTCCGATTCTATCTTCCGAAGTCTCCTTAATTATTCCCAGTAGTATGAATCAATAATAGCGACTCCTCCAAGTTCTGATTCTCCGAAGAATCTTACAGACGGTAAAGTACCAGCCATATAGACACTAACACTTATGAATCAACTATAATTTATAAAAATACGTTTATAACGTACGAACTGAACGGATCTGTTTGACATCTCTTGGTTTATAAATGAAACATTAAAAGCTCGGTTATCGGTTTTGTGTATATGGACGGTGCTGTACGTCAACGAGGGTTCACCAAGTCTAATTTTCATTATGACAATATTGTAACCGCACTCGACTTACCTTCAATCTAAGATTAGTGTGAACGAACAGAGGAAAGCCCTTCAGTTGGGCACCAACAAGACTTTCCTCGCCGGACGGCGCGAAGCCCACGATGCCGACCGAATACTCTCTGCAGTATTTGTCCAGCAATTCCCGGTTCCATTTGTCCATCTGCAGGTACTTGTTCAGGTTCTCGAATATCAGTACCCCGTACCGACCTTTGTCCAAATTCGTAAGCACGGGCAGAGACTTGCCAGCTACCTCGAGCTTGTATCTGAAAGTATAACATCGAGTATTTAATTGCTACATCCATCACAATTAACCATTTACCACAATTAGTACTTATCATTCACATAAAACAAGAAAAAAATTAAATTAATTGTCCAGTCGAAGTAACTAAATTCAAACAGGAAAAAATCTGATCCCAAAGACATACACAAGTCTAAAACAGAAATCTGAGTCGTGTCGAGAACGTCGAAGGGGTGTAATAAAACTGTTCACATCTCGCGATCTCATGGATACTCTTGAACCAAACGATAGTGGATTTCGCGATGAAAAAGAATTCTTAAAACATTTACGAGCAATATCCCCCCCCTGTCAACGATCCCCGAACGTTTCTTCTAGGCGGATTACAGGCGCGAGGAGACAACAAACTTTTCCTTAAACTTCTCCCAACTTTTTATTCTCCTCGCGAGATTATGCAATAAAGCAAGCATCGGTCGGGAGCGAACTCGTTCCACCGAATGGAATAAACGTTTCCCTTTCTCCAGGTTTCAACCCCCTCCCCATGGGCGGCCCATCCGCGTAACCCTCCCGCGATCTCGATCGCTTTCCACGGTGAACATTTGGACGGGACCGGGCGTCGATCTCGTCGACGGCTGTTACGACAATTTCAATCCAACCGATCCCCTCTCTGCCACCGTTATCGGATATTTAAAACGGGCACGGCAATAAATACAGGGGGGGGAGGGAGAAAAAAAAAGAAGCGGAATATCGATAAGGGAAGCACCGGCGCCAGAGAGGCCCCCTCAGTCGTTATTGTTAAACGATAAAACAAGGACACTTTTATCGAAATCCCATTTTATGCGGCATCTGAAACTGTTTCGAGAATAATAAAGCAATTACACGTATAATGTACTTTCGCGTTTCGCGCGCGCGCGAAATAGCTGTCATCGGCCTTTTGCTACCCTCCTTCCGCGCCTCCTCCTGTCTTTTTAATAACGAGCCTCGAGAGTCCGTTCTATCAGGACTTTTATCCCGTCGCGTTTTTATTCGGTCCGACCAGCCTCGATAAAATTACTTTATCGCCGATACAGAACACAGGTTCCATAGAGGAGAGAGTGTTCTTCTCTTCTTGTATTTTTCTCTTGTGAACGCGTTTGCTTTGAATTTATCGGAGTTGCGTTAATAAATGCATCGGAAACGATTTGCAGTAGAGAGCACATGCCCGTTGTCAATAGTTTATTGTTCGATGAATTCAGTTCAATGGATCTTGAATATTCTATTTCGGTTCGCCGGATGCTTCGCCCGCACGAATCGCACCGTCTCGACTGGTGCAATAAGACACTTCTCGTCCCTCTAATCAGTGCGCTCGCATCTTCATCCGACAATATACCGGTTGTAGAAAAACAAACGGTAGGTAACAGAGTTTCACATCCATTTCTGGGTCCCAGAACACCACGAGTTTCGTGAAGTTCCACGGATTAAATATCCTCGAGGCACGGTGATTAGTCACACGGGTGTCCCCACGCAATAGTTTCATAACGAGCGTGACCGGTTTCCGAACCGGAATCCCTTCCTGGAGTGGTCCAGCAGCACCGTTGCCAGAAATAGGGGAAACATGTCCGCGTAGGGACAAAGTTACGTAGTAGGTATTTATAGAGAGGGTATATTTGTGCTGGGAAGGCGACATCGCCCTTTTCGTTCGTAATAAGTGGACTGCTGATAGAATAAAGTCGCGTTAACTGCGCGGAAGGCTTCTCCCCACCACTGAAGGGATTCTCCTGAAACTAGTCATGCGTCTAGTGATGGGGATGACGTCTGAGCACTCAGTTCCAAGGAGCTGTCGATCACTCCTCGATGATTTACTCTATTTCTAAGAATTTTTCTCCCCTACAACCCCAACCGCGGCAATATATCAAGAGTCCAGTGTATTAGCACAGTGTACAGATGTCGTATTCGTCTATATATCTGACGTCACCTTGTTCCTACCAGTAGGGAATTTTCCAACAACTTTGTCCAGGAGAGGGAGTTCTTTTTCTTATCAACGGTGCTCGCACATCTCACGTCGGAAGATTGCAGTCGACTGATGAATGAACGCTGGATAATACAGGCAACGGAGTAATCGGCTCGATAATTGGCACCCGGCCGTTAACGACGCGGCTCCGGCAATTTGCGGGGCTAACGAACTGTCATAACGAACTCTACGGGACGGTGGGCTCTTTTGTTCTTGGCTGGCGATCGGTCTGGCACGCCAATTGGCTGTGCACATATGTGTGTGTACGGCTTGCGAACGCGTGCACCACCGAAAGGATCTCCATCCTGGGGCCGTGATTCAAAGGAGTCGCGCGATAACCGCCAACCCCACCATTGAAAAACGCATGCCCGCAATTAGGACTGTTTAGCATTCGGACCCTGGGTCGAGAGTCCTCGCTACGAGGATTTATAATCCTTCGATCGTTCCGGAGGGCAAGCTACTTTCCAACCCTTTCACGCTTCGGTCGCGTCGCGGGAGAAGGGTGACTACACTGGCCCCTCGAGGGCGCGCCGCTGGAAGATTTTAACTAGCACCATTGGTCGCGTATTATGGGGTGCGGATGAAATGTTTGTCGGTGGATGGGGACTCGTGAATCGGTGCAACTGGTGCAATTGCGGTGAAGTGCAGTGTGTGGTACAAAAATCGGTATCGAATGACTTGCAAAACATTGGGAAATAAAAGCTTCGTCGTAATCTTTCCTATGTAATTTAACGTATTTTTTAGGAGATCAACCACAGTATTATAGGAGGGTTATCTATACTTTGAAAAATGTCTCGACTTTTAAAATAATTAAGATACCATTTACAAGACACGGTTTCGAACACACAAATTTTCATACAATCGTCCAGCAATATAATTAACAATCGCCCAACGCGGCAAGTTCACAATCAAGCTCCTAACAGACGTTAATCGGGCCGAAAGCACCCTGGTCGTTCGCATTAATGAGAAAGGAACGTGTAATTTTAACAAGGCGGCGTGTTATCGATTCCACGCGCGTCCCTGTGTGGGTCAGCGTGAAACGTATTAATGCATTTCACCCGGAAAATGGAAAATATTAATGACCACCGCCGCCGTTACGAGCAGGAACAGAAACGGACTTTTAATTAATGCTGAATGCATTAATTCGCGGTATTAAACATTTACATGTAATAACGCGAGTAATTTCCTCAGGAACCAGCTAGCCGCTACCCCTTTCGAGATATTTCGAATGCAGCTCAGCCAGGTAGACGCGTGTCCCGCTGATTGACCGTCGTTTTTAATTGAAAACGCTTCGAGTATACTGTGATTGTGTGTCTTTTTTTTTTTTAATTGTCGCGGCTTCAGTCTCGTTCCCCGATCTCTCCACGGGGTATAATTGATAATTTATTCAATTATCGCCGGGAAACGATGAATAATACACGGATCGATTCGCGACTTCATGAATAATGAAAACAGATGTAACGATTTAATACTTCGATGCATTCGCGGCATTGTAAAAAAGCGTTATCCAAGCTCGGTGGTGGATAGGCAACGAAGAATGGTTTTCTGGTGAGCGTTCGCGAGGCAGAGTGTTTCTGACGTTCAGCTTTAATATCGGAAAAGCTTCTGGGAGTTCTGAATTTCGCTTCTGGATTCGATTGTTCTCATACATTAGAGGGGCACTACAAGTTCGCTCTCAATATTCCAAAGATCTCCCGCTGTTTTATATTTCGTTTTATGTTCACTTTTACTGCGTTCCGTTTGTAAATGTGTCTCTTCGGGTCTATGAAAGCAAATACGCGCCGGACCACTTTGAATCGTATTTCAGTACCGAAACCGTACGCACGGGGAGTGCTTTTCTCCAAACGCAATCCTTAATCATAGAAGGCACTATGAAATATGGTCTGTACTCCTTATTTCATCTGCGATAGGTTCTGCTCGTATTTAATATTAATTTTGAAAACAATGTCTTTCATATACAAATTCTCCAATTTATTATTAAAAATTGATAAAGGAACGACAGAACGGTTCAACGAACATATTACAGTGTCCGATCATGAACGAAACAAAGTCCCTTTCTTTCACCAATTAATTCCAGCCCCTTAACTCCCAGAGGGTGATAACAGCCTTTACTGTGACCAACAGCTTTTTAAAAACCCCGCCTAATTTTTTAGCTCAGGATACCACACTTAATCCTAATTATACTTTCTTCCGACAAAAATACCAGTGGATCTCAAACAAGTGAATTCAGAATAAAATATGCCTCAAGCTCTGACAGTTTAAACCCAAGAAATAAATACACCAGAAAATCGTACGCAAAAATCAAATAGAAAATCTCATTGCTCCACGGTTCACTTTGAAGCCGCGAGAAATTATGGAACAATTGACGCAATGATATTGCATACAGAAGCGGACTGAACTTCGATCAATCGTTGATCGAATTAACGCGACGAGGCGATCGAACTTCGTCATCCGCGGCCTCGTTGTCACGCGGAAAATATTCTTGGTGACTTTCTAGCTCGTGTGTGCTGCGAGAACGACGTTGGGGGGGGGCAACAGTGGCCCCGAGGAGAAATAATTTACCCGTGGGGCGTGTTCCAAAGAAGTCGTACTTGCCTCGTAAATTCATTCCGACGTGTGTCCCACCCCTCGACCTACCCCTACACACCGCGTCGTCTCTCTGTGCCGAGGCTGAAAAGCTCCATTGGGTCGCGACGGGAAAACAAGTTCATAATTTTCGGGGCTCTCTCTGATTTGGCATGCTTAAGTTACGCTGGTAGTCAGGGGTACAAGATTCTCCTCGGATTTTCTATCCCCTTGTCTTCACGATGGCCGTTTGGATTGTATGTTAGCGCAAGGAACAAACACAGGCTGGTATATAGTACAATTTCAAATAGAAGCAATTTAATATATTTCTATCAAAGTGTTAGGGGGGAGTGAAAAATAATAAAATGGTTAAGGACAGTAGAAAATAAATTCCATAAAGTAACGAATGGGGAGAGGGTGTAGATCAAATAGGTTCAAGCAAAAGAGCCGATGTAAATATCATAAAACGTAAA